TAGGCTCAAACTTGCTAAGTAAGCTCAATGAAATTCCTCTTAAATGATGAATCTCAGCTCTTCATAGACAACAGTTTCAACGGAGATTTTGATAGCGGTCAACTTCGAGACAGCTTTATGAATGCATCAATTCTCCCAACCAAGTCAACTGCGGTTGTCTCATTTCTTTCTGTGTACTCGAAAGAATGTCTTAATTTATTGTACTTCTTCACTGTAAATCGTCTCGAAGTACTTAAATAGTCCTGTCTTGTTCTTTTCACAAACCACTCGTTAAGAGACCGTGTCCACAAACCACTCATTGGAGACCTTGTCTCCTGCAGCGTTAAGTTAGAGGACAGCTCCCTAGAAGACTTCGCAGCATCAATGCAATCCGCGTAAGTAAACATCATCTGAGAACATCCACAGCCTAAAAGTCCCACGTTAGAATATTCTTCAAATAATTTGCTTCAATTTACCCTGCATACTTATGGATTGATGATGGTAGAATGGAATGCTTTAGTATAACTGCGATTAGATTGAACTTAAGAATCAAACTCAAATTCAATCTGTGAATGAACAAAATCATAACAAAATAAAGACTAATTACAAATTATTCATAAAAAATTTGAATACATAAAAAGATTAATCTAATCCAAACCAATAAACTTTATCTCTTTTTAGTTTTTTTTTTCTTTTATTATAATAAGATAAAAGAGTTTTTCAAATCTGACGAACAATCTTGAAAGCATATTCAGCCGCAATCCAATCATTTTTGTTCGGATATAACATAAGCGTTTTTTCTTTGTAATGTTTTTTAATCATAGCAACATCAACTACGGAAGAATAATCTTCGATAAAGAGAATGAAATACAAAATTTTAGTGTCATCCATCTTCATTTTCTTACAAAGACTTAACATGAACACAAATTTGTTAATTAAACTTGTGAATGCGATGTACTTTTGAGCTATTCATAAAAAAAAATTCAAGTCCAATGCTACAAATCCTTGTTATATGCATTGTCTATGTTTTCCAACTTGAACTATTAGTTTAGCGCTTTCAGTTACAATTTTCATTAATCGAAATTGACAAAAATTTGAAAGACGAAAATCAGCCATTCTAATACAATTGCTTTGAATGAAGCAAAAAACGATATTAGATTTGAGATTTGAAATTTGAAATCTAAGATTTTGTGACATAAGGTAAAGGTTTTTATATTATTGGGCAATTTGGCGTTTAAAAAAGGCTAATTTTGTTTGGTTGGCATCAAAAACAAGCTAATTTTCTTGGGTTTCAAACAAGGGGAAAGTGATAAGGAGTTGTGGCTCGGGAAAGGAAGGCCGGGAGAGAAACCCAGGAACCATCGTGGTAGAGAGGTGGTGTGTGGTTGGGTTAGAGCCTTAGAGCTGACGCAAAAGTGATCTTCCTAAGGTATTTTTCTTCTTCATTTTGTATTTATATTTCTATTATTACAAAAATGTATGCTTTTTTTTCTTTTTAACGAATAAATTCTTGTTTTCATTTCATTAAATTCATTGACATTAAAATAAAAAGTAAAAATTTCCATCTCATACGTGATAAATTGAATCTTATTTTTTAATATTTAAACATAAGATTTTTTATATTGAAATTTATAAATTTTAACCATAGAAATATTTTAAATGAAAATATTTGATTTACAAATTATAATTTGTTTTTAAAAAAGAGTGACCTCCGCTGCCTTTTAATATTATATCCATAATGATAATTATTCCAAGTAAGAAAATCCCAATCAAGAACAGGACATTTGACATAATATTTCTAGAATAGAAGCAAAAAACTAGAGGCATATATATTGCATACAAATATCAAATCTAGCAAAGCTGACATTAAAGAATTTGGAGCCTTTCTTACATAGTTGAATGACAGAAATGAGAAAACCCTGAAGTGAAATGCAGTCCCTCCTATACAGTAATAAGATTATTTGGCAACGTATCCAATATGGGATTCTTGGTTTCAAAATCACAAACCATTTTCTTTAATTCGAAACAATCCTAATCATATTTGTTCATCTTTCCATTAACACTGAGGTGGTGAATGTACATGATAATTACTTGATTAAATTGCCTGATCAGTCTTGTCTTCCCTTCTCTCCTCTCAAGCATGTATATATATATATATATCTCTCTACTATTTTCTGAGCATTCTCACTCTCAAAGAGCAATCTTTTTCTCTCGAAGTGATGGATGGTTTTGGGGTAGTTTTGGGCTGTTTGTGAAAGTAATGGGGAACCGGGAGATCAATAAGAGTCAATTATCTTGGTATGATTATAATGGAACAACCCGCGAGAAGATGATCTAGTGGCTAAACATGGCTTTCCATCCTCTTTTACAGGGTCATGAAGAAACTGGATTCGGAGATCCAAGGGCTAAGGAGAAGTCTTGAAATCTTATCTTAGGACTGCTGGTATTTTGATTGTTCTTGTTTTCCATCAAGGTTTGTTCATGCACTGAGCTTCAGCTTCCATATGAAAACAACAAAAAAAATATGATGATTTTCCTCTCCTTATTGTATCGAAATCTCTTGGAGGCCTCCCTGATACCACCCAATGGGTGAATGGCCGGCCTTTCTCATCCTAAACCTTGGTTGTCGATTCTTCCTCGTTTAAGACAGTGGATGAACTGATCTTGAAATAAAATCTAACTTTCATAATGAACTGTATCGATACAATAAGGATACAAAACAAGTGGGGTATATCTATCTTCTACCATAACCCCAAAATTAACCAAAAATTGCTCTAATCTCTTCTATTGGACAAAGGGTAGATCCAAAATTTGAAGAGAATTAAAAAAGAAACTTCTAGGTTAATGATTTGGATTCTTCTTGTATGTTTCTTTTATTGCTATTTACTTCAATATAGCAATTGAAGGAGATTGGATATTAGTACAAAGGTTTTGGCAGTCGATGTAACCAAACAAGCAGATTTCGAAAGCTAGCTTTTGATGGTGGACATTACAAAGCAAACATTGTACTTGTTAATTCAACATCTCCTTTGACTAATTCCTTCCTAGTTTTTGCTTCCCATATATAAAGAAGCATACATTGGACTCCAATACAACCAACCCCCACCCCCCTTGTTGTCTTTCTTCACAAAAATGAAGAACTTATTATGGATTCTTTGCTTGGCATTTCAATTCTTTACCACTTCTTGTCAAGGTAATGTAACTATTTTAACTTTGGAGTTGGATTTTTTTTCCCTTCCTTCTAGGCAATTTGGGTTAATCAGAATGTAGGAACAGGGGTAAGCTCTTGGGGCATGTAAGGGTGACATGGAAATAATATGGTTTCTAATTGCGTAGCAAATAGGGTTCTTCTCTCGATGTGCACGTCGAGCAAAACGAATAGCCTGCTGTTTGTAGAAGGTCCACTATAATCTCTATATCTTGATTCTTGCCGAGTTAAATTGCTTCTGAGTTTTGTTAGTGTCATAGATTTGCGGTTACAATGTCCGGGGTGAATGCAGGGGTGCATGATTTCGTTTTTGACAGGGGCAAATGTGCTCTAGTGGGATCAGTCTTGTATAGTTTGACTAGAGGGGAGTCTTATTTTGTAACTGTAAAAGAGGGCACCTACAGATGCCATAATTACTTTAGATGATCTTAGAGTTTAATGATGTTTCTGAAGTATAATTGCAATGTCGTATCGAATTTACAATTATATTATTTATGATAACAGATTCGAATCGAAATTTATATAATTATTTATTCATGATTAAATTTGATAAAAAAACTCGATTATTTCTCATCTTATGGAATAATAAATATACTATAACCCATCCTGTTATTGTTTTAGTGTCAACGGCTGGATGGATAAACATTGATTGTGGCAATGACGCTTTAGAGACTGGAGACAATGGGCTTCCATGGAGTACAGACGAAGGGTTCACTAAAGCTGGCAAAAACAAACGGATTCAGAAACAGGTGCTCACCCATACAGAAATGGCTACCCTCCGATATTTCCCAAATCCAAGTGATCAAAATTGCTACACTTTGCCAACAGACCCTAAAATCATAAGATACCTTATTCGGGCAGGGTTTGTCTACGGTGACTACGATGGTCTCGATCATCCTCCGACGTTCGATCTCGAGGTTGACGGCAAAAAATGGTCGACAGTCACCACAACATCGTCAACTATAACACCGGTGTACCAGGAGGTCATGTACGCAACTCGTGGTTCAAGTTCTGTTAACGTGTGCTTGAATCAAACCAGGGATGGCGAGGTGCCCTTCGTTTCTTCCCTAGAGGCCGTGCCATTAGGCCTCAGTATGTTCCCAAACTTGTACCCACAAATGGAGAGTGATGCTACATTTTTTCTAGTCAATAGAACCAATTTTGCTGGTGTTGAGGTCAGGTATGTCAAATTTGCTCAAATTACACATCACTTCCATGAGGAAAAGATGTTACATGGCATAACCGACATCTTGAGATAGATGATATAATTTTTTTAATGTGATAAAATTAGTTAATTAAAACAAGTATATCTTTAAAAAAAATTTTGATTTAATCAATTTTGTCATGTTAAAAAACCGCATCAACATCCATATGTGCAAAAGATGTTATCTAGTATTGGACCTTATACCAATTAAGGTTACATAATAAAAATGACATATTTTCATAAATATAAAGACTTTTCTAAATACAAATCATATCATATGAATTTATTTAAATATAATAATAAAATAAAAACTGATTTAAGTAAGATGTGAAAATTCATAAACTTATTTAGTGTTTTAAGTTTTTCTATTTATTATTATATTATGTCATAACCATTTATAAATAAATAATATTCTTAAGAGGACACCTAACGTTAGAATAAACTTTAATTTGAAAATTTTGTATTTGAATGGTAAAATGAATGGAATAAATTTATAAGATGAAAAAAAAATTAACTATTTACCAGACAAGATCATATATATATATATATATATATATATATGTATACACATGCATGAAAAATTTCTTCTGATTTTGTATACAGGTACACTAGCAATTTATATGATGAAAAGCACAACAGAATATGGGCAGCTGGACCCACCCCACCAATTTATAACCTACTAACGACCTTACCAGGTTCTAACCCCCAATTACAAAATGACCCTCCCGATTCAGTGTTACGCACCTCCACCGCATCATTCTTCACGTCCTCTCCGATAATCATGACCGTCGATTTTCCCCCTCAATCAACCCCACAATCAGCTTATTTCGCATTCTATTTCACTGAAATGGCGATCAGGCCTTCCCCCGACGACACGAGGATCGTCGATGTTTACGTCAATGGTGTGAGGAAGGCCACGGTGACAGTAGAAGTCAGCCAATGTAAGGTGGTAACAGTGTACCCTGAAATCCTTGTGGATACTACGGCTAATGTAACGTTGGCGGCTGCCGATTCATCCACGTTGCCTCCTATAATCAGTGCGATGGAAGTTTTCGCCACCGTTGATCATGTTCAAGATCATGATAGAGGTTTCACTGTCGGTGCATATGATCCTCTGATATTAACCTTTGTCATTTTAATTCATATTTTTGTTGTTTTACTCTTTAATTGAGGCAAAATTGGTCCTCCCAAGGTATTTTTCTTCTTCATTAGTACTTTTATTTCTCATATTACAAAAATGTATACTTTTTCTTTTTAATAACTAAATTTCCATTTTCATTCCATTAAATTTATCATAAATAATATTTAAAAAATTATTTAATCTTGAAACAAAAAATAACAACTTCTATCTCAGACATTGTAAGTCGAATTTTTTTTTAATATTTAAACACGAGACTTTTTTTTAAATTTTAACCATTGATATAATTTTATTGAAAATATTTGATTTACAAATTATAATTTGTTCTAAAAATTTTAAGGTCCTTTTGTTTGATATTTTTTAAATTTATTTTTATAATAAAAAACAAAAATATAGAAATTAAAAAAAATAAATAAGAAAACAAAGATAAAAAAAATAAAAAGATCAATCAAAGGAAATCTTAATAAGATAACAAGTGTAGCAACCCTTACTCCAAGAGGGCAAGCCAAGCTCTTAACTATCTACTAGCAAGCTGATTCTTACATGGTGGATTACAGAAATGAGAAAAAACCTGAAGTGGAATGCAGTTCCTCCTGTACAGTATAATAATGTTTCATCTTGCTCAAGATAATGAACTTGAAAGAGTTTTGGGTAGGATCTACCTCTTATCCTCTCTCACCATTTGAGCAAAGACTGTACTCATTGAAATACCAGCAAGGTCGCCTACACTACCGGTTCTGCTGAATTCTAGACTTGTTTCCAAGCGGCTGACATGGCTCGCTTGAGAAGATAGCTGACCATTGTGATTGGGTTTTTGTTCATTACCTTGGAGTTGAAGTGCAGACTCCAAGTTCCATAGGACATCTCCCATTGAAGGCCGATGAATCCCATGTTCTTGCAAGCATTTCTTAGTTATTTCCCAATACGCCCTTAAGGAGTCTGGTTTTATTTCTCCAACAAGAATAGGATCCACAATTTCTTCCAATTTCCCATTCCTGTAAGACTTTGTTGCCCAGTCCACTAGATTCACCTGTTCTCTTGGAAGGGATGGATCGATAACAGGCCTTCCACAAAGGACTTCAAGCAAAACAACCCCAAAGGAGTACACGTCTGATTTCTCTGTTAGTTGTTGCCTTGTCAAGTACTCTGGATCAAGATACCCAAAGCTTCCTTTAACTGCTGTACTCACATGCGTCTGATCAATATCCGGACCAGTCTTTGAGAGCCCAAAATCAGCAACTTTAGCCATAAAAGTCTTATCCAGTAGTATGTTTGCAGACTTGACATCTCGGTGTATTATTGCCTTGGCAGAACCAGTATGAAGATAGTGAAGTCCTTTGGCTGATCCAATGCATATCTCAAGCCTCTGTCTCCAACTCAAGCCAGGAAGATTTGAGCCATATAAGTGATTCTTGAGTGTTCCATTCTCCATGTACTCATAAATTATGATCATCTCATTTTGATCATCACAGAAACCAATCAAAGATACTAAATGGCGGTGGCGGAACTGAGATAACATTTCAATCTCAGTCCGGAATTCTACCAGACCTTGAGGAGCTCCCCTCTTGACAGCCACCTCTGTTTCATCTCTCAATAGTCCTCTATAAACCTTACCAAAACCACCAACCCCAATTACCAAATTCTCACTAAAATTGTCAGTTGCCTCCAGAATTGCCATAAAAGGAAAACGATACCCTATTTTTGAGCTGGAACATATGGCAGTCCCATTAGAGCATTTAGTTCCTGTTGTATGAACTTTCTGTCCTCTATTCATGGAAAAGTGTTCCTCTGTCCCCTGAACTGGCTTTTTTCTTCTGCGGAAAAGGAAGACAACTGCAGCCAAAACAATAACAACAAACGACCCAACAGCCAGGCCAACCATAACCACGACTTTCATCTTGGAACTTCTTGAGGAAACAACATCTGGAACATCAAGACTGCCCCTAGCATTGTTTATTTTCATGATCTCCAAACCATTAAGAATGACACTTGGGTAATCGACTATAGTAGATGAACCAACACTTACATTAAGCTTATGCCTTGCAGTTGCCTTTGTGCAGACATCCATAAAATATGGGACACCTAAAACATTTGATGTCTTAGAACCAAGATCAAGATGACCTACTAGCTGTGTATCTATGAAAATGTGGACAAAGATGCCTTGCTGAGTAGAATTACTCACTATATCACAAAAGTGAAGCCGAACAAGATAATCAAATCCAGGGTTAACATCAAAGCTCCAAGTCAAGTTCGCCTGAAGTCGAGGATCATCATAGTTCAACCTAGTGGCAGTGCCATATACAGATGCAGGAGCAATATCCTCAGTAACCAATCCTCCAGTAAAATTAACAGCCTTAACATTTGACACAAATGCTCCTAGATTCTTGTCTATCAGATATGCATCATCTGAAACCCAAAGTCGCCATAAGGCATCATTTTGTGGAAGCACTGTTGCGTTTCCCATGTCCACTCTCGCAACTGTCTCCAATGCTTGCTCCCACAGACTTCTGTTATCACCTTTTGAATCAATTGTCCTTGCTTCTTTAGGAATGAGATTCTCCGGAATTGAGAAAACTTCCAAGGCATTGATGAAAGCAAATGATTTGGCAGCAGGGTTAAAAGTAAGAACCAGCTTATTAGAAGTAATGTTTAAGCAATACTCCTTAACAACAGAACTATTCCCTAATTGAAGTTCCCTAATGAGGGTAAAGTTTTGAGCAGAAACAGAGAATTTTGCATTGCTCATATTATAGTCTTCGAATACGAAAGGAAAGAAATGAAGGCGAATCCAGTGCCTCCCTTGTTCTTTTATTGAAAAGTCGTAATGGGAAGGTCCATTGAAAATTCTAGCAGTTTGATACAGAGCTGAATCATAGTATAGTGAGATTGAATTTGAACTAGAATTGGCAAAAATATGTTGTGGGGTTGTAAGCGTATAAGATGAAGAACTGGAGTTATCAGCTAGAAATACTCTCTGACCCTCTGATCTGTTTTTGAAGGATCCACAGTCTATCAAATAGTTATCTACAGGCTTAAATCCTACTGAAAGACAAACTAAACAAAAGATAGATGAAATCCGCACAAGCAAACCCAAATTCCCAGGATTCTCCATGAGAGCAACTCCAATATTGAGAAGTAAGAAGAACGGACAACAAAGATTGCAACAGAAATGGCAAAAACTCGAGATTTTCAAAAGACAAGAAGCTACTAACAAAACAAGCTAACCTGAGATGAAAATGAGAAAGCTGATTGAGAAGTGAGAAGAACAGACAATAAAGATTGCAATGGAAATGGCTAAAACTAGAGATGATCAAAAGACAAGAAGCTTCTAAACAACACAGGCTAACCTGAGAAAGCTGGTGGAGTGATGACTACAGCAACAAAGCTCAGAACTGCTTTGTAACTTCACCAAGAGACCATTTTGGTAACAACCCAGTAAACAAAACCAATGAATTAACAAAAAGGTAACCTGGAAAAGTTCACCTGATAGTGGTCAAGAAAAGATTGAGAAGAGACTGCCGACTAAAAAAAGGAACTTCACTAAAATCCCAACTTGCAGAAAAAAACTAACAAAGATGTCAAATTCATGAGCTCCACAGCTTTTAGCTGTTCAAAGTGTATGTAGAAGCACGTAGGAAAGATCAAAGGGATAGAAAGTAGCAATGTGAAAACGACTTCAAAAGAATTTATATATATTAAAATGTGTTTATCAACGTTTGGTTTTGACAAGTTCATGGAATTGAATAGAAAAAACCAAAAAAAAAAAAGATGAAAAAATAAATGAAAAGATTTGGTATGTGGATTACTAAGTTAGAGTCAAAAAGCGTTCAAATGGACCAAAAGTTATAATTGAATGCAGAAGAGGAGGACAGCTATGAAGGGCGGCTGAGTCTCACCTTCTCTCCCGTGTGCACGTTTAAAGCTGTCTTACGTTTGGTGGCTTAGTTTTGTTGTGCCTTTGGTTGGTGTAAGAAGGAAAAACTGTGGTAAGAAAAAGTCTAAGAATCAGGCCATGTCTGGTTGTTTTAATGTCTTTTCCTTCTTCTTTTTTTAAATGAAAATAAAAAAAATCTCCTTTGAAAATTTTAGTTCAAATGTTTTAAGTGTTTTTTATTAGGTAAAAAATCAGTCTCGAAATTTTTGGAAAACAAAAATAAAACAATATTCAAATTTTGAAAATTTAAAAAAGAAGCTTTTTGGTAACATTATGAAAGAATCATTTTTGCTTTAACTACTAAGGAATCATTATTTGAGAAAGGTATTAATTTAATTTCCATAATAATTGAGGAGAGTTTGATTTTGAATTTTAGATTTAAGCAGCAGCATCATCATCATTATTATTATTATTTCATTGTACAAAATTAAAGTTGAAAGAGACTAAAAACCTAAGGCTGACTCAATATGAACAACTAACATAGTGCTTATCAAGAAGTAGGAAAGAACATTGAACCAAGAGGGCTTAAAAGATTGTGACATCCCATATACATAATAATTGATAAAATTTGATTTATAATAATGTTCATTTATTGAGTTATTTTGGAACAAAGAAATGGTATAAACAAATTTGCTAAAGCTGTTCAACTTAATTCCAAGACAAAGAGAAAAAAAAGGTTCAATAATTCCAAATTTATCTAGAATACTTGAAAAATTATCAATTAATTCCTTAATTAGCAAACACGCTAACAATTGTTTATTTGGCTTTGTATATAATTTGCATTGCCAAGACAAAATGCAAAACAAAGAATAGAATTTATTTATTTTTTATAATAATTAAGTTAAATAATAGACAAATAATCACTCATTAATGATAATGACTTATTTGATTCAAAATAAAAATATAAAATTTTGATTAAGCAGTAAAAGAATAAAAATTTATTTATATTTTTTAAATAATTCAAAAAAAATTGATATTATGTCATATAATTTGTTAATTGTATTATTTTTATAATTTTATATATATAAAAAAATCAAGTTGTTAAAGTAGAGCCAAACACGGCCTTGTTTACATGTTTGTATAATTATGCTCCTTTTTCTTTATTGGGGACAAATAATTCTGCAGAGAGGATAAATTCCTTTTAATGAAACA